TATATATACTGTATATACAGTATATCTGTCCTAACCCTCCATTGAATGATGCAGCTACAGTAGGTGGCAATGATAAAAATGGCAGTGAAAGCATAGCTTGTTCCTAATAGATGAAAAAAGAGAAAAGTAGAAAATCCATTAGGTTAATCTACTGTAAAGTTAATGGGTTCACATTAATTCTCCTTTTATTTGTACAAGAAATCTCACTAATCCCGATGCAATTAAAATTCAATGATACAAAATTTGATATCACAAAAAATAAATGTGTGACTTTGAAATGCTAATGAATTGCTCATGTTCCTCACAAATTGACGCAGAATTATTCCCAAATTCCTCATTTTATAGCACGACAGAAGGAAGCCAGGGGAGAACAATAAACGACTCACAAGCAATAGAAACTGCACAGGAGGTGGTGATGGTGGCGATGGGGTTGGTAGCTCCACATTCGTACACTCCAGCATCCCTGTGACACAACTTCTGGATTGTTACGAGCTGTCTGCCATCCGGGTGAGAGACGAGTTTGATTCTGTCATCCATCACATCCAGTGGTTTCCGATCTGCAAAAATATGCAAATTAGGTACTGGTGCTCAAATTAAAAAGTTTACAACAGCTGTGTGTGGTTTTTTTTCTTGCTCTAACATTAATTTTGTGTCAAAAAGAAATCACTGAAAATCATCTTCAATTCCAATGAACAGTTTTCAGCACAGAGTGGGTTTGGGTAAAACAATATCTTTTAGAGTATACAAGCCAACCAAATTTGAAAAGATGGCATTTTGAGGTCTTTAGTATTCTGTATGTTACCTCATTATCACAAACCTTACTTTTTGCTAATGCACTATGTAAAACACCTCAGAGTATTTTAGCTAATTAGCTTGCTTGGAAAAACGATAATTTAGCCTTAAAATTGCCTTTGGGACAAATATTGAAGGTAGAAAAATTATTAAATTATTTGACCCATTATTACAGGTCTAGAGTAAGTTCGTGTCATTCTGATAAAATCAGCCTTTTCCATTTATCACTTGTTTTTGTTCCATGTTAGAACAAATATGGGTCTATTTCTGTTCTAAGTGCCATTTTCATGGCAAATGGAAATCACCCCAGTTTCGATGGTCCAGTGCTGTCTTGAGTGCACCAGTTTCTGTTTTTGCACTTTCAAAAGTTTATGGCACAAGGTTCATTTTGATACCTAGTTCGTCTGGGTTTTGGATTGAGATTGAATCAGAGAAATGTTTTGGATAAAAAGGAGCAAATTTCTTTTTTTTTTTTTTTTTCAAACTTTATTCAGACCAACAACTTGGGCTATTTTTGGAAAGCTTGTACGCTTGGAAATATGGTGATACTAAAATTATTGCTGACCAGATTCCATCACAGAGCCAGGACATTTTCCATTTTGTCCAATTGAAAACATTTTCTAATAGAATGCTTTTTGAACAATTTTTTGTGTATTTTGATTGATACAATCCTTCTGACATATTGTATTGCAATTAAAAGTTAGTGTGTTTTCAATCATTGATGTGCGGACCTCTGCTTTCTGGGTTTTTGAAGCGGTGATTGCCAATACCTACCAGAAGTTAAAAATGTCCTGAGGTTTAATAAACCCACCCCTGCTGGAACTAAAGTTACCTTTCATCCATGTGATTTTGGGATGTGGGCTGGCAGCTGGGAGGCAGCTCAGGGTCACGGATTCCCCCTCTAACAGAACATGGTCTTTTAATTTGATGTGGAACACTGGAGCGAAATCGGAAGCAGAGCGGACGAACTGCTGGCCTTTTGTCGAGCCTTCGTTTTTGGGTACAGACAAAGGTAACTCAGACTGAGAAGAAGTTTTGTCCTTCTTCGCCCTGGTCAAGCCCCACCTGTCCCACCGTGACCGTCGGTCACTCTCCGAGGCTCTGTCCGACTGCATGCTGGAGGAGGATTCGATGGATTCCTTTGATGATGTGACACCTGTTTGTTTTGCCAGCTGGTTCTCAGGGATGCCCATTTCTTTGAGTCCACGCCCCTCTGACTGGGAATGACGATGACGAGCAAACAGGGGTGTGCTTCTGCCCTCTGCGTTTACTTTTCTCTCTTCGGACTGACTCCGTATTTTTGTAGATATTTCGGACATTTTGTTCTCAAACTTCTGACGCATTGCCAACACAGGCGATTCAGAGACTTTATTGGGATCTTTTTGAACTGAATCTTTCTGACTCCCTTCTGCCTGTTTGGCCTTCCTCTCCTCCGACTGACTCCTTATTTTGGCAGAGATACCCGCCACTTTAGACTCAAATCTGCGCCTCATTGCAGAAACCGACGACTCCTCGGCCTTCGCTTGCTCTCTTTCATCCTCTTGCTTTCGTATCCCAGCGTTACTCAGCTCCGCTGTATCCAGTGACTTACTGCGACCAACAGCCCAAGAAACCCTCTTATTTCCAGCCATTTCCTGAACATTTGGTTGCTTTCCCTCTTTTGATTTCTCCCCCTTCTTCTCAGCAGATGTTGACCTTTTGGCCCGCAGAGAGAACCTCCCAATCAGACCGAGTCCTGTTTCCCGATCCGCTTCTCTTAAATCTTGAACAGACTTGGATTTCTCTGGTAGTCCTCTAGATACCATTTCAAGCGGTGCCCCCCCTGGTCCTGGCCTGTAAATCTCCTCACCTCCTTCAACCACCTTGCGACTTAATACAGGTGATTTCTCCTCAGATTTGTTCCGGGTAAGCTTCCGGAGACCACGAGTCAGAGAGGACTCCCGCTTCTTAAACCTGGCTTCAAAGACCTCCTCTGAATCAATGTCTTTGATGTCTGTTCGGAGCACTGGATGGCGCGGCATGGTGGGAAGATCAGTGTTCGATGAAAAAGAAGCAGAAACAGGGGATCCGTCTCCAGTTGCTACTTTGGCAAATACTGCTGGATGTTCGGGTAATGAAGATGTACTGTTAGATTTCTTCTCATTTGCTTTGGCTGCAGCTTTATTGTGTTCTTTAATTTTATTTTCATTCATTTCCAACATTCGACTGTCTTTCCTCACCCCATCGTCCTCTTCTATTACAATTATAGGAGTTTTATTAGTCCATGCATGTTGAATTTTGGTCCTTTGGTCCTCATGTTCTTCCACATTGTTCATTTTGCACTGTTGGTCCAGTTTCTCTGCTGCTGGGAATACAAAGGAAGTTTTCTCGCTTGGTGAAGAAGATAAAGATTCTAGTGTTCGTTGTTCTGTCAGTGCAGACATTGACGTTGCCTCCTGAAGCTTCTTCCCCTCCACGCTTGCACCGCAGGCAGATGGGATCTCTAAGGGGGCTCCAAACTTTCGGTGCAGGGGCATGGGCTCAGAATCCCCCTGAGTGAAGGAGACGCTTTTACAGAAAACTTTGGTCTTTGGTGTGTCCTCTCCAGAACTCTCGGAGGACGCTGCTCGGGTGAGCGCTGATGACCCCGCTCTGGATCTCCTCAGGTTTCGATCAAGAGACCCTGTCTGCCTTTCCACATCCATGCCTAGTGTCTCAAACAAGGGCCCACGCAGGCCGCTCATCTTTTTATTGACGTTCCCTCCCCGGAGCAGCCGCTGCCTCATCAGCTCCAGTTTTAGGGCATATTCCTCCTGGCTTAAGTTTGCAGCTCTGGGGCTCGGGCTGCGGTTTGGTAGCTCCATAGAAACAGCCTTTTTTAGACCCTTGTTACCCGCCTCAGAATCTCCATTTGCATTTCCAGCTTCGGGGTCAATGTTGGGAAGGAGCGCTGAATCAGCAGAGCTGCCTCTTCTCATCGTGGCCCGCCTCGCTCTCGTCTCCGATTCGTGGGACTCAACACTTGCTTCTTTTTTGAGAGCATCTTGTTCTGACCTTTCTAGCCTCTTCTCATTTGGGGTTTCATCTGTGATGCTTTCACCAGCCCCTCCTGCAGTGCCCGCTTCAGTCAAGATGTCCTTTTTCCTCCCATCATCAACGACAGTCGACCGTCTGACACCCTCTTCCCCTGGGATCTCATTAAGAGACACTCTGGAACCAGAGAAGACCACAGATAGGGGCGTAGGAATAAAGGGAAGCTCGTCCACATCTGCGTCTGAATCAGATGAAGACGAAGGTGGCGGGGAGCCTTCTTTTAGATGACGGGTCACGGCAATGGAGACGTGACTGGATGAGTCATTCAGCAGCTCTGGGATGGACCTCATTACCATTTTGGATTTGTAGCCAATGAGAGAACGCTGAAAAGGACAGACACAACAACAAGGAGATTATATAAGTAAGCTCAAGCAATGTATAGAGTGGAGGTTTGCTATTCTAAACATAATCAAGCAAATAAAAATGCACTTAATTTTTTTAAAGTAACTGATTTAAGGCTCTGTCACACTATAACATTTTAGACAACTTATGCCGACTTGTAAAAATTTTATGACTAAAATGCTCATATAGGCTCTATATCTGAGCTAATCATTGGCATTACTGTGTGTCTGCGTACAAAAGAGGCTTCCAGCAGATTTTTTTATTCCAAATTCAACGTAGATGTCTTCAGTGTTGAACAAACTTCTCATAAGTTGTCATAGGTTGTCTAAAACTTTAGTGTGACAGGGCCTTAACCTTTATATCAGAGGTGCCCAAACTGGGGCCCGCGAGCCAAAACTGGCCCACCAAACTATTTGATTTGGCCCACCAGCACTTGCCATGGTTACTGGGTTGTAATCGGTCGTCATCTGGAGAAACAGTATTTCCACCTAAAGTCATTCCATTCATTGGCCCAGTGATTATATAAGTGGCTGTACTGCACTGCCTGTACTGCCACCGCATTGGCTGCTAGCTTAATCTTTAAAAATAAAAGGAATTTATTGAAAAAGTATTTGTATTTTATGTATTAAATTACTGCATTTAGCACGCAAACGTCAGTCTTTTTAGGCCCTTTCAGGAAAAACGTTTGAGCATCCCTGCTTTAGGTTCAAGATGGCCACCATAGCTAAATGATCTTAGCAAACCAAAAAAAAAAAACTTGTGATGACTCAATGAATTCAACAGATAAATCTGGTGTGGTAATAGCTGAAAGTCATCACACATACTGTATTCTGAGCAGCGGGTTCTGATGTTATCAGTCCATTAAATGGACGTTATTAGCGGTTATCAGTCCCATAGAATGGCTTCAGACTGTCCCGACAGTGCCCCCTAGTGGGTTAATAGTGGGTAAATATATCAATGACACTGAATGTGTAAACAACAAAAACATATTTTAATGAATTTTTTGTCCGGGGTGGGGGGCACGGTTTTCTTGCTGTTTTCTCGCCTGGTCTCAGTCCTGGCTGTCCCGCTCTGTGGTCCGGCGCTCTACCCATTGCCCTATGTTGGGCCTGCAACAATGGTCTACTTTATTGTAGCCCATGTTATTTTCTCTAAAATTAACCTTAGTGGATTTATGCGTCATATTAACCAGATTGCATAAAAAAAAACCTTAGTGGCTTTATGCCTCATACTAACCTGCTGACAATCTGAAGCCATTCTAAGGGATGAAGAACCCACTAGATGGCACAGTCAGGACAGTCTGAAGCCATTCTTTGGGACTGATGACTAATAAAGTCCATTTAATGGATGATAACATCTGAAGCAGGTGGATTCTGAGCAAGGCAGAGGGCGATATGCATTCCTAAAAAAATCGGTCTTTCATGTTAAACTGTCTCACCCACACAATTTACCTGCCAGCGCCTTCTGGAAAGAACCTCCTTTAGCATTGCTGTGCTGATGCTCTTATCTGTTGGTGACTGCAAAGCAAATAGTGTAATTATCCCGAGCATTAGTGAGAATATAAATAGATACAAGTAGATATATATAGATATGCAGGTAGGTAGACATGCTGACTAATTGCTCACCTTGAACCAAGGATGACGAAGGCACTCAACAGCACTAGGTCTCCTAGGAGAGAGAAAATGATACATTAAAGGTTGGGAAAGTCTAACAGTTTAGACTCTCAAGGGTTTGATTAGAACAACATGTTGCGTACAGTCTGTCCACCACCAAAAGCTTGATGACAAATCCTTTGGCTTCTTTGCAGAGATCTGAAAACATGCTTTCCTCAAACGCTATGTTGTAGTTGCGGATGTTTAGGGCGGTGGCTCTGTCATTCTCACCAGCAAAAGGAGACACCCCAGTAAGACTAGAATAAAAATTGTCACATTTATTTGTCCTTTAATGATGAAATATACATATTATTGGACAAAATTGCATAACTAAAGTGCCACATAACATACCAAAGGTAAGTGATGACGCCGACAGGCCTGTAAAAGAGCACAATGAGGAATTAAACAGGATTTTCAGGAAAAATTGTGGATTCCGCAGCTTATGCATAATATTTCTTGCAGCATGTAGTCAATGCTCCATGCCAGGGAACAGGTGGCCTACCATATGTCTGTTGCCTGGGAAACAGGAGTTTGGTTAACAATCTCAGGAGCAACATACTCCGGTGTGCCATATTTGGAGTAGTACTCCTCCGAAGCATCCAATTTCACAGCGTTTCCAAAGTCACAGATACGGATATGGTCACTCCCCGGGTTTGCCATCAAGATGTTTTCAGGCTAAAACAAACAAGCATACGCGAAAACAGGGATATTTCATAATAAGCAAGCTTTGACACAAGTATTGATGAACCAAAGGTGAGATGAAGGTACCTTCACGTCAAGATGAGCAACACTTTTTTGATGAAGATAATGAAGACCCTCCAAAATCTGAAGAACACAACTGCGAATCTGCAAAGTAACAGATGAGGGAATAAACAACGAAGTCTTGTTACATAATATCCCCACATGGCAGGTCTGTACTTTTTGGTCATTTGTTTTTCATTTTAAAAACAGATATCAAAAACATTTTCATTTCATACTCCAAATCAAATATAATGTGGAACGAGTTACATTTCTTTTCTTCCTTTAGAATAGAAAAAAATTAGCAAAGAATGAGAACTAGAAAAACAGACAACTTTCAGTTTGATTGACGGACTGACTGACTGTTTGGTTGGTTGGTTGGTAAGTTGGTTGGTTGGTTGGTTGGTTGGTTGGTTGGTTGGTTGGTTGGTTGGTTGGTTGGTTGG